AATTTAATTTACTAATTTTTAAATATATCAACAAACTTAATCATTTCAATAACTGACCGTTTAAATAATTAACTGATCGTTCATTCAATTTACTGATCATTCATTTTTTACTGACCATTTATTTTTTTTACTGACCATTTCATTTATTCTACTGACCACTTAAATAGTAGCCTATGATTTTGGTTATTTATGAAAATCATTATCACCACATTTGTTTTACTTTTTTCTGCAGTATTTTCATCCAATTATTTTAATTACTTCTTAAAACTAAAACAATTGCATTAGTTTTGAATCATTTTCATTTCAGAATTTTTAAAATCTAGAAAAAAATCGAAACATCACATTGTTTTGATTACTTTCACATCATTTTCGTTACATTATTTTGATTATGTGTCATGATTTTTTCTTGAAAAGAAAAATGATGAAAATGATTAATTTAAATCTTACATACAAAATTTGTCCTTCTACATGATATTATATGGTTTTTGTCACTTGATATGACGGTAGAGTAAAAGAAAATTGAATAGTTCATTGCAAAGCCTGTCGCAGGGTAATCAGTTCAGACTTTTCAAAGAAGTCTGACAAGAGAACATATTTGGATGTACTCACGCAGGAAGATTTTAAAACCATCCTATTCTATTGGAAGCTTTATGAATGTTTCACATTTTATTCTGCTAATAGATGTGCCATACAGTTTTTTTTCATCTTTGTTTGTAAAACTTGCTAAAATGACCATTTTATGAAAATACTTTGACTCGTAGTAACTTTTTGATAATAAATTTTAGATTTTAATGTATGAAAAAAAAAAGTATTAAGAACATTCCTGTCTAATTGTCGAAAATAAAAAGAAATAGTTGAAGCAGGCGAATACCTAAATGGAAAACGAATAAAATGCCACTATTTTTGACAGAGGACTAACTCTCCTAACAAATCTTGTCAATTTTCTACCGCTCGCTTCTGAAAATGAAATGATCATTTTAGAGAAGTTTTACAAAAAAAAACAACTTTATCATACATCTATTAGCAGAATAAAATCGAAAATCGAAAAGTTTGATCTTCTATTTTTTCCAGATCTAAGCAAGGGCAGCTAAGATACTTATATTTAAAATATTCATAAAAGGTCTCCATAGGATAGAATGGTTTTAAAATTTTCTTGCGTGACTACACTTAAATATGTTACCTTGTTAGTATAAATTATTATTGAATTTTTGTAACTTTTATACACATATAGGATTTGCTAGATATATTGATGAAATTTACGGAGATATTACTTTGATAATTTGATTTTTTCAATTTCAGATATAATACTGTGAGAAAGTTGACTGTCATATAGAGTAATAATAATGGCAACTGATGTATCAAATGAAGTTAAAACGTGTTCACCTTCGAAAACTGTCGTATCAGCTGCACGTTCACGTATAGCTCGTGGTTTTCGAGAATTAAATTTATTTTCTGATAATCCATATTGGTCATCAACATTAACTCATGACGAACAAATTCATACTACTCGACTTTTTTTAATATTAGTTTCAATATCTCTTTTAGCCGTTATTGGTTATGCTAGCTTATCTGTTCGCACATATGATGTAACTCTAAACAAATTTTCTATGTCTAAATTCGAACGACTCGAAGCACGTTATCCAACGACATTTAAATCTATATGTACTAAAGTATCAATACCTTATAATAAATTTTTATATTTATCTGTTAGATTTCATCAAGTTTGTTCAAGTCCATTTATTGGAAGAAAATGGATTTCTTCTTTATATCGCTCCAATGCAACATCTTATAATATTTTGGATTTTCGTACATTTGCTTTTTCTCATTATCGTTCTCTTCGTTTACTATGTCGATTGGCACGTCAAACTATTGATGATAATTATCATGCATTTAATTCTACTAATTTAGTTGATCTTCTTACTTTTTCACGAGCTCAATTTAATGATTTAGCTGGTGTTCTTATTTCTAATTTTCAAAAAAATCTTTTAGCTAATGAAAAACGAACCGCAAAAGTAGCATCATTAATGATTGCACAGAATCGATTAATTTCAGCTTTACGTACAAATTATTACACGCATTCTGTACCTGGCTCAAAATCATACAGAACATTTAATGCACTTTATTTGGAACAAAACGGAACCAATGGGTCATATTGCGATTGTAGATTAAGAAACAATCAATGCACATATCCAGCCGGTGCTTTTTACAATTGGACAGCACTAGAATTAGGAAAACCAGCTAAAAATGATCCACCACCTCAATTTCAGGTAATCATTTTTTCTTTTGTACTATTTAAAAGGATGCTGTTAGAAAGAGGAAAAAAATTATTTAAAGCTTTATTGCAAAATCTCAATTTTCATGTAGAATAAAAACATCATAGAAATACCTGCGATAATGGTAATATCTGTAAAACATGGTCAAATATTCTCCAACGATCTCCACTTATTTTTATATGAACCTTATTTAAAGGTGTTTACACTAGGCTTGCATATCGATAACTTGTATTAGGATTTGTTCAGCGATATTACTTTTATTTACCAAAATGTTATCTTCGACCAATCGGTTCATTGAAAAAAATGATCTCAATATTTACGTTACTGAAAACAGAAATAAAACGTTCTTTCATATTTTTCGTTTATTTTTATTTTTTGATAGAAAAGTACTATAGATGATAGAATTCAATATATTTTAGCTGAGATTGTTAGAATATCGAGAAAAACCTGTTTGGAAAGGTTCGAAAATGAATTACAATGATTATGGCCATTCACTCCTATTTAAAAATGTCTCATTCATATGATTAGAGTACATTTTATGAGTTAAGCAATTAAGTCGTTAATTCGAAAGGATGGTTGATTGTAGAGGACCTCATAATACGCAAGTTCTGCAGGACATCCAAGTAAAGATATATAGAACTACCTTACTCTACATAGAAAGTTAGGGTAGAATAACGATAAACAAATTCCGAGGCAGTGCAGTGCTAAGGTTAGAAAATATTTCTCAATTAGGTTACAAACTGAGAAAAAAAGCTTACCGTGCACATCTATACACCCGAGTCATCTAACGGATCGTAATGTAACAAATTTCTAGTTTATGAGTGAAAATCGTCGTGAGTTTTCATTATTATCAATAATAGTCAGAAGATTAAATGCCATAACAGCGACTAGTGCTTCGTTGAAAAGATTATAAAAAGTTTCGACTTCTCAGTAAATCGATGATATTTATATGAAATCTATACATAGTTAATTGATCGAAATATATACTTTTGTAAAGAAAAATTAGAGTTATCATCTGAAAAAAAGAAGACACTTCGAAATGCATAAATGTAGTCTAATGTTATGGTCATTTTTCTAATCTTCAGTGAATATTTTCATCTTACGTTTTTTGAGAAAAAGTTTTTAAAAGTTTTTTACATAATAGCTATATGACTTTTGTCTGCATAGATTTTATATAAGAATTATCATTTTAATCGAATAATATTCATCATATTTGTTGATCATGATTGTAGGTTTGTAACACTATTCCTATTGTGAAAGGCTTTCATATATACTGTCTTAATTTATAAAGTTTACTGCTTTCAATTCATTTTCTGATATACCAGTTTCTTTGATTTCTCTCTGACAGTTTTTATAGTTTTATTTAGTAAAATAATCATAATATTGAACTACAATAATTCATTTCGAAGTGTCTTTTTTTCACATGATAACTCTAGGCTTCCTCTGCAAAAGTATATACATCGATTAATATACCATACATGGGTTTCTCAAACGTATCATCGATTCATTGAGAGGAATCGAAAATTTTGGAATATCCTTTATGAGCAAGTAATAAACAGAAATTGCAATGAACTGTAATGTATAATAGAATATATTTGAGTTAGAATATCTTGGTGAGGATTTCAAATAAGATTTAATAATCTTATTTCCAAACGTTGACTTTTTTCTTGCCTTTTGTGATTGTCTAGATTTTATTTGTATTATATCAGCATGAGTAACATCTTCTGCGTGAATTATTTATGGAAGAAACAAGAGACGTGCGCAAATACGAATGTATTTCATGGTCTGCGAAAAAATGTGACCTTCTCTTCTCAAACTCAGCATTCTTACCAGACTGTAGATGTGCACGCTAATTGCAAAGTACTCTCGACCACGAACTGACTCATACCAACGTCCACCCTCCCTTACACCCTAAAAAAACCTAGTATTGAAGAGTTTGTAGCATGCCAGTACATGAGACTACAAATTCTCAAATTTCAAGTTTCTAGGGTTCATGTTTTCTACAGACTAAAAATTATATTTGCATTCGTACATCTCTAAAAAACACCTGTAAAATGTAATAAGCACATTGAAATATTGATTCAGTTCCACGAAGGTATATGCGCAGATCCTTCTTTATCCTAAACAACGCCACAATCGCATCTATGTCCGCAGCCACCCTACCCACAAATTTCACCTTAGTGAAAATACTCATCAGACGAGTACGACTAACTAGCACGAGTACTTCAGAAATGTGATTTGTAATTATACTTTTCGTGTACACTAGCGAGAATTGATATGAATTGTTTCTGTAAGATTTACTTGCTGACAAAAGCGTGAGTACTTAATGTAGTAGAGAAAAAGAAAAGACGATATAATTAAATGAAAAATGGAAAAGAATTATTTTAAGGACTAGTGTATTTTCTTCTCTATTATTTTTGGATAAATCATTCATACTATTATAATGAATGGTTACTTAAAGAATAGAAGGATAATTTATTACTGACATATCTTTAATGATATTGTACTGTTCTCAATACGAATTTTTATTCAGTGTTTCTTTATTTTTTGAAGATTAAAAATTTATCTCCATACTCTATATGAAATGTAAACATAATGTAGCATCTTCACTTCTCAAATTTTCATAATGTACGCCTTTGCTTTATTATTGTTTTAATTAAATCAAAATAAATATAGTACAACAATACGAAACAGATTATAGGCCTAGGAGCATTTTACAAGAAAACCATTAGAGTACACAAAAAACTATATCATAAATACTCGTAAAAAATTCAATTTTATAATGCAAGCACTCGATTGTCGTACTCAAATGCTCAGATTTTATCACGAGTACTCTATTGATGAGTATTTCTATTAGGGTACACCCACACCCGTTCTCTGATAACGATTACTCTTATATCATTCGACAGAGAAAAAACTCAGCTATTAGCTGATCACCAAGTATTCAGTCCAACACATCCTTGTTCTCTCAAAAAAGAGCCTGACATTTTTCTAAAAACTTCTAGAGATTGTATGTCAGGTTCTATATGAATTGGTTCTTACTAATATTAATAGTTGATGAAACACATTTTGAATATTGTTTCATTCTCATAAAAATTTAAAAACAAATACAAAAGATTATCTATGAAGAGAAATAATATGATTTTAGATTCCTGGATTAATGGCTGGATGTATACCTCTTGATTCTATGCGTCAATCAACTCTTGAATGTTTATATAATCAATCATGTGTTGATGCAATATCACTTCAACCAAAAATTCTTCGATCAAAAGCTTTGAATCCATCATTATCAGAATTTTCGTTGAATTCAACAATAGGTTCACTATTCGATGAATCTTTATTTGTTGAAACTTGGAAAAACGAATCTAGCTTTGAAAATTATTTTGCTGCTTGTGAACCTCAATCTCTTTCTTACAGTTACAAAAAGCGATTTCATCTTGGAACAATTATTACTATGAGTCTTAATGCTTTCGGTGGTCTTGTTACTGCTTGGGAGTTAATTATACCAGCTATTGTCCTTATTTGGCAACGAATAAAATGGAAAAAACGACAAAATCAACAATCTACAACTGCAGAAAACACATGTGTAGAATTAGAAGTTACGAAAATGGCACCAAAACCAATCAATAAAGGTTAATACTATGTAACTAGTCATTAAACATGCAAATAGTATTTTCTTGATAAAAGATAATAATTAGAACACTTATTTAAATCGACCATATGAATTCAGTAGATCACACCTTAAGCACATTAGCTCTTAGAAAAGAAAAACAAAATTGGATATTACATTAAAAAAATTGTTCATTAAAGTTTTCTTTTTTAAAAGGTTTCCGATAATACATAAATTGAAGAGTGTATTTTTGTACCAGTTCGTTCAAATCTTGCAGTTTTTTTTGTATAACATTCTACTTTCAAAAAACAAAATCTGAAATACGAACTATTTTTGACTATTTGATGTGAAAATAACTTTCCAATTCAACTATTGAGTTTTATTTGCCCATACTATTCATGTCCAATATAGATTATTGAAGTTCCTTGACTAGTATCAGATAAAAGCAGAAAAATAGAAATATTGGACTGATCATTAGTAAGGTTTTATGTTTGATATATAGAGAAAAAGATTTAGTCTTGTGTTAAATATGTAGGCAACCTTTATTATCACGTGCATACTTCACGGTTGTTGTTTCTTTCAAATAACAACTGTTCAGTTTTTATCTTTGATATTATTATCGAAATTTCAAAGAATAATACTCAAAAACTCTAATATATTCCTATGAAATTTTGAATTGACTTTTGATGAGGTTTGATCAAACACGAGAAAGTTAAAGAAGAAAACTTTCCCATTCAATTATCTTATGATATGCACTGCTGCTTGTAGGCAGTTTCGTTAAAATGATGTCTCATCTAAGACCATAAAAAGCTGTAGCTCTAGATGAAAAGTCAGACTGATTTAGAACTCTTTCGCTTGATTGCTTGAACTCGTCATACATAACTACGTAGTCACAAGTACCAATGTATATCTTTATATAGTTAGTGTGCTATTTGATGAGTAATCTGAGACAAACAACTCTTTCTGACTTGCCAAAAGTAATTTTATGATGATTAATATCAAGACTCACACATAGTATCATAGAGTTATATGTTACACAACGTAACCAATCAACTATAGCGATGAAACGCCACTGATGTATTAAAATTACATGTTTCCAATCATTTTTTGCTGTAGAGTCTTCAATAAAAACTCTAGAAGAATTTTTTTTGCTTATAGCTGTAACTGTTCACGTTCGTCGAACAATTCATAATTTTAATTTGTTTCCGTCAGACAATAAAAATGATCCTGAGGAAGAACGTATTGGTATTATCGCTACTCGTCTTTACATTGTCTTAATACTTACTGGTCTTATAGTTCTTGGTTTTTATACATCTTTATTAAAACATAGTCATACACATACTGTTCGAAAACCTTCACTTTCGAAATTTGAAGAATTATATTCAATGCATTCGTCAACATTAAATTGTCCATGTTCACGATTTTCAATGTCACATGGTCGAGTAATGTCTCTTAAACCTCGTTATCATTCTATATGTTCAAGCGAATTTATTGAAGATTATTGGTTAACTTACTTTGGTGATGTAGAAATCGATGTTCATTCTGTTCGATTTTTATCATCTGATTTTCGAGTTAGTGGTCAATCATTTTTTGAATTAATGCGTACATTATGTAAAACATCATATGAAACAATTGAAAATGCATTAACAGTATTTCGATCGAATCGATTAGTTACCATGTATGCCTTATCACGTTCACAATTTGATATTGAAACTATGACACGCTTAAAAAGATTTGAACAACAAACAATAAATTCTTTTCTTAATCTAATTGAATTAGTTCGTTCATCAATTAAAACTAATCAATTAGTTGAAGAAATGTTGACAAATGCAGGACCTTCTTCACAATTTAATAACGAAACATCAAAATGGTCATTTTTTTACCGGTCGAGAAGTTATTATACAAATTCATGTTCATGTGCTGTATCTGATGAATGTAGTCGTCCAGCTGGTTTTCATTTTCAGACAGATAAAAGTTCTAGTGTACCTAATATAACCGTACCCGGTTTATTTCTTGGTTGTTATGCAATTGATTCTGTTCTTTTATCTACATTAGAGTGTTTATATGAGAAAAACTGTGTCAAACTTCTTGTTGATAACTACTATTTTAATGTTGTTGGTTTAGTTAAACCATTGAACAGTCGTACTCTTCAAATACAACCACTTTCACAAGAAAATAGTCATTTTTATCCAAATACGACAATAAATGAGATTGTCTCGGAAGCATTTGTAGAAAATTGGATTAATTCAACTAATTATACGTCATATTATGGACGATGCGCACCTTTACAATGCACTTACACTATACGGAAACGTTTGAATATTGATATGTTAGCTAAAATGCTTGGATTTTATGGAGGATTAAGCGTAATTTTAGACTTCATCTTACCATCACTTGTTAGAACATTATTACAACTATCGCCAAAACGCAAACAAGAACCGAAGCCAATAGCTACTCCTAACGACCTTACGATGGGTAAGATAATGACTATTCTTTTTTTTCTGTTCAATAGAAATAGTACATCGACAATGTTCTATGAATAAAAGAGATTCTTAGGAGAAGACGCATATTATTTAAACTTCAAATAATTTCGAAGAAATGATTCAAAGACATGCTACATAAACATTTGGCATTGCTAAAATGAGATATTCTAAGTAATACAAACTTCTTCAAAGACTAAAATATTTCTTATTCAATTTTAATTGAAGATATCTTTTGTGCTTGCAAAATAATGAATCTAAGTTTACTCATTTCCGTAGAAAATCTCCCTAATACCTTAATATCTTAAAGAAATCGCTCTGAAATATGGACCTATTTGAACGTACTGGAATACAATTAATATTCCTTTGAGTTGAGTACAGTCATTATTGATCATATGAGATCATTTGTGAAGACGAATTTTTTTAAGTAGAAAATGGTTGATCCTATTTATTTAGTAACTCTAAAGAAGTTTTTCATATGACGAAAACCGGCAGTTTTACTGATCCGTTTACCAACCCTCATGACCATGGTCACGGTACTTTTGTACAAGTGTCCGGTACCATTTGATTTCTTGCTCCACTGATAAATAACTTGAGGTAGTCAATTATATTTTAACTAATGTAAGTTTTATTTAAAAAAACTCAATATAAAAGAAAAACATGCGTATGAAGATGTACACACATAAATCTGTTCTGAGCATGTTTGCCAGTGTTCATTGATTGCTACTTTTAGTATTGTATCTTGTTGTAGCAGGGAAAGTTGAGCGCTTATTTATGATAAACTATAAATAGTCAGTAAATTTATTGATAGATTATAGTTCATCAGTCATCTTACCAGTAAACCATCAGTTTTGGCGAATACTGCAGTTTACCATTAAAAGTGATCCGATTTCTGTGACATGGGGTTTCTATATTTTCTATCGACGCATTTTATTTCTTTTGAAAAATAAATAGAAGAGATGACAGCTGTCTGGCGAATTCCACTAGTTTTTATACAAAAATGTTTTGAGAAACATTTTGATTCCTTCTCATTGTATTCAAAACAGCTCTTCATTTGATATGAAAACTGAATCAGCGGTAGTACTATCGAAGATTAAAACATAGTTTAGTCGCTGCCAAAACTGAGAAGATATGCTTTCAAAGTAGCTTAAAAAGCCACATAACTACGGTAATAAAATTATATGGAGACAAACTCTCAAAATGTAAAGCTCTTTATTAAAAATAGTATTATGTTTGCCATAAGTTCAGGTAAGAGAACTTTTCCAGTACGAAAAAATATTTCGTCATAAGTAGCAGTCATGTAAAAAGTCTGGGAGTCGTATTAGAAAATGTTTTCCAAGAATATTTTTTTAAAAATATCAGAAAGAACCTTTTTAGTATTATTGAGCAAAAACGAAGTTTTTAATTATTAGGAAGGAACAAGTCCTGTCATGCCATTTTCGTGGTTTTTAATTAATATGATGAGACAAGATCTTTCTCATGAACATGTTATCGTAATGAATACAATATCTATAGTCGTTGTAGTACTTGATCAAATGAGGTTGAAATTTCCTAAATTATAACAATACGAAAGTCAAATAACTATGAATGCTGTGAAATCTATTGATTTCTCATTACGTTTCAGTCTTATGCGTCATGTCAACCTCCATGATAACATTGACGAATCAGGAGATTCTGGTACGATTTTGGTTCTAACGAGAAAAAATTTCTAACCAGAAATATTTTCATTAAAAGCCACATATTTGAATTCGTCACATTTCAACATATAAATAAATTATTCAGTTAAACATTTACACAAAACAATAATTTGTTAAATAACAAAAGAAGAATCTTCTACTTTTTTTCTCGCATAAAACACATCCAAGTCAATCTTTTTAGTCCTACGGCGCATGGTTTTTATATCGAAAATCGAAACTAGTTATTCGAATTCGAAAAAAATATTAACTTTCTGAATTGAAAAATTGCGAGTCCGTCTAAGCCGAGGCACGACTAGATCTGCGTTTCATTTGGGTTCAAATAATCACGTTGTATTGTATTCGACTCTTCTTCCAGAGCTAATTTAAGACAAGATTTTCAGCAAACTTTGACTGTGAATTCAGATGATTCACAGCTCGCCTGTAATACTCTATGTTCTCTTTTTCAAAATTGATATCATTTATATAAATACAGTCAAAACTATTTTATAGGACTGCAGATTTTCACATTACTATTTGTTGGTCATTTTTTTTCATGCCGAGTCAAGGTGAAGAAAAATTCGAGCATGGGCCAAACTCGATCGTAATCTGGATCCGTTGGGCTTGTGCATAGACTCAAGTTCAGGCGTTTTATTTTTGTAGAGTTTGAGTCTAAACTCAGATCTAGAAAAATGGTAGCGTGTAGCTCTGTGTTGCCTATTCGTAGTAATACTGTATGACAGTTTTTCTTATGAAAAACTTTCTTAGCACAACGCCTTTGGGATGAGAATGTGGAACTCACATATTTCACAAAAGATAGAATACTCAACGACTATAAAACTAGTTGCTACAGTCTGTAATGTGGAGGAGGATGGAGAGTCACAAAACTACGCCTTAAAACTTACACTCATCATTTTCTTCGGAAATATGTGAGCTCCACAAAAAAGCTTAAAACAATTTAACAGATGTTTGTTGTATTTTAGACACAACGATGAATGCTCCATCTACTTCGTCAAAAGAAACTCAAAATAATTTTTATGAAGCATATAAAAGATTGTTATCATTGAATTTATTTGCAAATGATCCACCTTCGGTAGAACAACGATTTCAAAATCAAGAAATTATTGCCACTCGCATTTATATAATTCTATTTATATTATGTTTGATTGCTACTATTATTTATTATGGTCCACTCAATCGGGAAACAGAATCTATTAAAATAAAATATCCAACAATGAATACTGTCAACGATCTTCGTGAAAAAAATCCTTCAAGTCTCTCATGCCCGTGTTCAAAAGTAACTGTGCCCTATTCGACAATTTTATCAATAAAACCAGAATATCATTCAATATGTTCAAGTGAATATGTTTCTCCATCATATATCAATGATTTAAAAAACAAAAATGATAGTATATCATTAGCATTAAGTGCTCATTATCGTTTATTGTCTTCATTATGTCATTCATCTCATCGTTTTATTGAAAATGCTAAAGAAGTGTTTGATGCTCATGAACTAATTAGCATAGAAACATTAACTCGTTCTTCATTTGATATTCAAACACAATCGCTAATTTCAACATTTATTTCTCAAATTCCAGCTGATTACCGTCGTACTCTTTCATATATAGTTGGTTCATTTAGTGTTAATCAATTATTACATCTTTTTAGAACTAATTGGCTAATTGATTTTACTGATGAAAATGAACAAAATCTATTGAAAACATTTCCACGAAATTTTTCATCATCAAATTGTAGTTGTGCAATCTCATCAAGTTGTAGTGAACCATTGACAGATGATATTGTTATTGGTTGTTTTCCGTATGATGGATTTCGTTTGTCGAAATTTGAAAATTTTTCATTAGGAAAATTAAATGATCAATTATTTGTAGAAACATGGAAAAATACTAGTAATTATACAAAATATTTTGAAACTTGTCGCCCATTACAATGTCAATATACATTATCAAATAGAAATAAACCTATAATTATGTTAACAAATCTTTTGGGTTTGTACGGAGGTAACTAAACAAAGAAATTTTATCGAAATTTCATTCACTTATGTTTAGGTTTAACATATAGTTTACGTTTGATTATTGGTGAATCGTTACTTGCTTATCGATGGTGGATACAACACATAACAAAAATACCAGATACAAACGAAATAAGTTGAACTAGTGTTCATCTGAAATTATAGTATTATAAGTATTCAATGTTTATTCTTCAATAAAATTACCAAGTATCATCGACTGAAACGGGGGGAATATTTTGTTCTCCACCTCGGAAAAAGCTTTCCCCTCCTTGCCCTGCCCTGATCTTAATTTTTTGTTCGCTTCCCCGTCTTTGCCCTGTCCCGCTCTGTTCCGACCTTAGCTTTTTTGCTGCTTCGGCAGGCTTTTATACAATGCTTGAATTTTTCGATCATGCGATTTGCTCGACTACATATTTAAAAGAAAAGCACAAGGATACAAGGATGTGACCGTGGGCGTAGGTTGGTGGGATGTAGGTGTTGGGCGTGGATTTCCTGTGGCTCGAGACAGCATCCATGCCCACATCTACAGTCACATTCACACCCACACCCATTATGGCTCGAAAAACTCTCAGTATTCGCAGGTATATTTTGTTTCATCACGAAATACTAGTTGAATAACATGTTATGTGTAAAGAGTAGCTAAAAGTAAACTTATCAACTATCTGCTTCGTGATTTCTATCTTGATGAAGTACGTGGTATATAAACAGTATACTGTTTCGTTTGCTCAGACATGTCATGTAGTAAATTCAACAGTGTTATTCCTCGTAGTTTCGTACTGTACTTTGTCACTTCTTCAATTATGTTTTCTTTTTTTTTGTCAGCTTTGAGAGCACTGGCATCGGATGAAGTTTTTGTGGAACTTACGTAGTCACTCAGGCATGTTTGCAGAAGAAATTTAATTGAAGAAGAAAAAAACTAGAGTATAAGCACAAAATGTCATAGTCTAAATCTCGTCATGAGGCAGATGATTCGGTAAATGAGAAACAATATTTTGTATGGACTTAAATGAGACAAGATCGGAAGAATACCGAATTGCCCAGCCATCTTCAGCAACAATGACACCTGTCTCAGCTTCATACGCGAACCATGCTTCAATAAGCTCCTTCAGTACATCCTCTTGTTCGTCAGCCAAATTGTTTAACTCTCCCTTATCTCGAGACAAATCATATAATTCCCATTTCGCCGTTTTCCCTTCGTTTGGCACCAAAACGGCTTTGTAGTTTCCACGACGAATAGCACGTTGTCCAAACAGTTCCCACCCTGTGAATTCGTACTCGCTATGGATATGCATGTGTTCATCAGGGTTAAGTAGATATGGAACCCATGATTTTCCTCGCGGTATAACAACGGTACGGTTACGAAACGTTGTGCCCGGATGAGAAATATTCGCAAGCTCGAGGATAGTAGGTAGAATGTCCATAACGGTCGTGAATTCATGGCTAATGCTTAAAGGCGAGTGCAATTTGGGATAATGAACGATTGCTGGACATCGAATACCACCTTCGGTTATATAGCCTTTGACTTTCCTACTAGGAGCAGTTGCTGCTTGAGCCCATTGTGGTCCGTACACGATGAACGAGTCCTTATTACCAATATTTGCATAGCTATTGTTGAAGTATTGACCGGGTTGTGAGGATGATGAGATCGGAATGCCTTCCAGAGTGACACCCTCTGCTCCATTGTCCGACATAAACAAGATGAATGTATTCTCTAATTGCTCTGTTTCTCTAAGATAATCTACGACACGTCCGACAGCAGAATCAAGGCGTTCTATCATGGCAGCGTAGATTTCCATTGTTTTGGCACTAAAAGCCTGCTCATCAGCCGTGAGTTTATTCCATTCTTCTTCGTTCATGTTACCAGGTGGCGAAACAATGTCGGATGACAGAAGACCAAGTTTCCGTTGGGTTTCGAGTCGAGTTTTGCGCAGGACAGATGGGCCATTGTCATAAACTCCTTTGTATTTGACGATGAGATCAGCAGGTGCCTGAAGAGGCCAGTGAGGAGCAGTGAAAGGAAGGTAAGCGAAAAATGGCTTCTTGCTCTTCATAGCATTGGATTTCAAACTTTCGATGAGTTCGGTAGCAAAATAATCGGACGAATAGAAATCTTTCAGAGTTGTATAATTAATATATGTGAAGTTGCGCACATAGACTGGTGGAAGAAATGGGACAGAGATTTCGTAGGCATAATGATTACCGGCACCAGGTAGCAAGGAGAAGCTATCATCGAAACCCCGTTTCGCCGGAATTTGATCAGGTGCCATGCCCAGATGCCATTTGCCACTCATTGTGGTAAAATAGCCCGCATCTTGCAAAATTTCTGGCAGAGCAGCAACCAGATAGTTGAGATAACCTTCATATCCAACTTTTCCTTTCCAAATATCCGGGTGAACCAGCATTAACTCGGCCATTTGACCAAGACCAGCAATGTGATTATCTGTGCCACTCAACAGCATCGATCGAGTAGGGGAACATGCCGAGGCCGTATGAAAGTCGGTAAATCGAATTCCATTGTTAGCGAGCATTTGAAGATTGGGCGTGTTGATCTCACCACCGAATGGGGACACATCAGACCAACCGAGGTCATCAGCGACAATGATAAGAAAATTAGGTAGCTCATTGACTTTCGAGTGAAGCGTGCTACTATCAGCTAGAGCATATCCTAGGAAAACACAAAATAAGGAAATGTATGTGAGAAAGAAAACAATGCCTGTGAGATGTGGGTGTGAGTACATATGTGAATGTGGGTCTTTTTAGTCATGTGACACCCACAACCATACCCACACCTACATCATAATAGCATCTATATGAGACCTATGTGTTGAGAAAAACGTCGAAATGCGAATCCAAATTCTACCGTACTGGGATCGACGAAGGCGATGATAGTGTGACCTTGAAAAATCGTTCGAGAAAGCAGTTAGGTGGAATGAAAATTACAAAAAAATAGCTTTTCTCATTAGATGGAACCTTTTTGAAAAGTTCTGAAGAGGCCTGAAATGACCTTGTGTGTGTACATCCTTTGAAAACTTACGCATTTGATTAATTGAAACGAAAAGAACGAACGAAAGCATAAGAATCATTGAAAACATGATAAACACCTTGTCGTTGAGTGAATATTGCTTGTAGACAGGCGAAGTTTATTTCGCAGATGATGAGGCAGACAATGAAATATTATATCTAAAGAAACAATAAATATATACATGTGAAATGGCAATTGTATTTGAAATGATAGTTGAGACCGAATAGAAAATTCTAGTTTAAACATTGCTCGCACCAGACTTCTGCGAGCCGCGGTAGGAGATACAAAAACCTTTTGCCATTCTTGCGGCCTTCTCATCTGAACTGGTGCGGTATTTGTACCAAAAAGAAGCGTAACGTAAATAAAAGAAATCTGCCTTGCTGAACACTAACTAAGAGCAAATCGAGTAAGTGAAATCAGGATAATTGATAAGGCGATAAGTTTCGGGTGTGGGTGTGCAGAAGAAGAGAAGAGCAAAACCCACATCCTTTTTCAACAAAAAGCCTCTGATAGATGAGCTTTTAAAATATAGGCGTTTTTCCAAGGTATTGTAAAAATAATGGATACTTTGGACAAATTCGCCTCATGAAGATACTACCAAAAAATTCTGCAATTTGATTTAAAAGTTAATCTAATTGAAACTTTTATGAGGGAAAATTTTCAGATCAAAATTCAAAAGTATGATTTTGTTTGAAAACTGCAACCCTGCAGGGAAAAACCCACTAAATATTTGATATCTCAGCAATAAAGATTCAGGAAACTGAAACACTCAAGACCATTTACCTACTGACAAGGCCCTATCGATCGAATATAGTTACAATTTAAAAGCGATTTATCATCTGGAGAAGTCTCCTCACCGACAGAGTTCCGATGAATTCTGACATAATCAACAGTTATTTTCCATCTAAAATACGACAGCAGCCGATTATCTGTAATTTGAGTATAAGAATATTATTTCAAACTGTCGCAAGATTTTAGTTGTGACATCCGTTCGATGAGCTATCGCTAGTACTCTTTTAACTGGAAGATTGAATTGTCTTTGCCTCAATGTTGAAACTTCTCTCATATGAGGATGACGGATAATTGGCCATGCCAAATAGCGACTGGGTCTATCTTCCAGTAAACTTTTGTGTCAAGACGATATAGTTTAACCTTTCTCAAAAGAAATTGGCTAATCAAAGTAAATACAGTAAAGTAGCATCATCAATTTTAGCCACTAAATCATCAGCACACACTTTTCAAGGGTTTTGTTAGCCTCATTGAGATCTACATTCCGTTATAATATGAATTTGTAACTCATGAGGCGATTGAGGTAGTTCCTTGAACAGTCAAATAACTGAACCATAATTTTTTGTCATTGCATAGCAACTTTTTTGGACGAGATTGTTTCGAGCAATATTTCTCATAGTCAGCACTTTAGAGTTTGTAAATAATCAGAGCGATTTTTGGTTATTCATATTTCAACAGATAATTTAACATTAAAAGTTAAATGAAGTGCTTCTATCATAATATTAATTGTTGCTTTGCAGCATTATTACCATCCAGCAGAACGTTTTTTGTTCACGCTCATCTTTTTTCAGAAAACTCTTGGCTACAGATCTGAAGATTACACTACCATTAATATTTCAGCTTAGATTGTTTTATCATAATAATTATCCTTTATTAGAACAGTGAGCGGGTTAGCATTGATTCTTCTGTTTCACTTCACAGCTAATAACTTGCAACCTTTTACCATCGCTTCAGCGCAGGAATAATGCCACTCACATAGATAATCAGAGCTAAATAATCGAGCACATCTTTTCGGAAGCTCAGAACAGATTTGAATATGAAACTGCTATAACTGAATTAAACGAGGAAATATGCACATTTTTCTGCAGCATTCCTACCCAAGCAGACAACAGGCAAGAAAAAACGCATTTACACACGGGTACATACGCTTTTTTTTATTGAAAACGCGTACCAGAATGTGTTTTGTACAATTCTGCGAAAGAAGTTGCACTCCCACACTCAATGGAATCAATATTCCCTTCGAAGATCATCATGGCACGATCGGCGGTATGCTATTTGATACAATCATTTTGCTTGTGTGTTCATTTTGCATTTCTTCGCTAAATAACTCTAAAATTATCTGTGATGTAAAAGAATTTGCTGGAGGTCACAAAATGAATCAAGCCGGGAACCGCTTCGATTCTGTAATGATGATTAATCGAGATATTTAGAAAGTAATACGAGTTTTCGTGAGCAGTCATCCTATTCCGCAATTTTGAACATTGAGGAATCAGTTCCATCTAATTCCGGGAACTCGATCATCATTCGGCATAATAGACCTACTCGATACCGATCGAGTTCCGCCAATCTCCGGAATGGCAGGAACTGATTCCCGACTGAATTACTCCCATTGCCCAGAAATTCCTTCCAATTCCGAAATTACTGACTTATCCCAGGGACTAACATTCACACACAATACTCTGAGTGAGGGTGAGGGCAAGAAGGAATTTCGGTACGGAATTCCCGGAATTGAGTGAAGACAGAATTACACGGAATTGCGAGTCATTCCAGAATCAGAAGGAGTTTCAGGATTTCCGGAATCAGAAGGAATTTCTAGGAATTCCCTATAACTCCGTCTTCACTCAACTCCCGGAATGCCGGAAATCGACGAAACTCGATTAATATCGATTAAGCCTGTTCTACAGAATCATGATCGAGTTCCCGGAATTGAACGGAACTGATTCCGGAATGTTCAACATCGCGGAATAGGATGTATTCTCGTTTTCCTATCTTATTCATGACTATAAAAGATTAAAAACTTATGAACCTGAATAGGGGTATCAGTGTTCCCGTTCCTCCGGGTTCCGTTCTCAAGGAACGGGAACGCGTTTGAAAATTGGTATCCAAGCATTATTTAGTGTTTTTAGATGCTCAGATGTGTCTATTTTTTTCATTTGTATCAAGTCACGATGGGTTCCCGGGTTGCTAGGAACGGGAACCCGCTCGGGTTCTGCGTTCCCTATTACGGGAACGCGCTCCGGATTCCGCGTTCCCAAATACTGGAACGCGTGTGAAGGTTGGTTTTCAAGCATTATCTAATATTTGGAAATGCTCATATGTACCTATTCTTTCCATTTGTATCAAGTCAGGATGGGTTATCGGATGCGTCAGGTACGGGAACCCGCCACAGATGGGCTTCACCTTCCCAGGTACGAGAACTAGCATCGGATTTCAAAAAAGGAAACTCGGAACTCATTTCGCACATCTGTTTTTATGAATCTGAAGTTACATATACATCTGTTTTCACGACTCAATCTATGTACGTCGCCAAAACAAATTAATTGGATTTATAATTTTATACATTTCTCTATGGAAGGGTTAGAAAATTTCTGTTTAATAAGTTGATACTGCTTGATTACTATTTGGATTTTTTATCTTATCTAAAATAAGAAGCGTGTGGTACTCGTTTCAATTGTTGAGAATATGAAGAAGCTCGAATTTTCACCGGTTTAAAAGTTTGAAGGATCACATGTCAGTCTTTGCAAATCATTCTTTGTGAATGGACTTTGTCAAAACAAATTATGCATGTCTTTGAATATCAGAAAGCTTTTTCAATGCGTTGGAATGGTTTTTAAAAGACAAAATAACTGAAATGTGTTTTGAACATGATGTCATCGATACTGCAAACATCTAGCATAACTCGATATCGTAACCTGTATTCTTTGTAAACTCTGTGCTTCCTTGATTTATTTGATAGAATTCTTTCTCATGTTGGAGTTCAGCCAAGAGTCTTTCTATTGCTTAAAAGTGATGGAAGAGTTTTTACCGGATTTGAGAGAAAAACAATCATTGTTTTTTTCTGATAGCTATATAAATCGTCTGCATATGTTGCATCACACATATTGCTGCAATTAACGTTTTAACGCTTACAAGCTCTACGAAGAAGTTAAAATTTTTAAAGAAGCACTTTTTCTAACGTTTTTAATAACTTATGAGACGAAAACTTCGTCGAAATCGTACAAGCTTCTTCTTTTTGTTGCATTATTGATTCTATAGATTTTTTATTATCTTTGTGTCCTATACAGAAAGGCTAGGGTCTAGAAACTGAAATTCAGCTGTATCTGTCTGTTTGTAACTTTGACACAAACGACCATTTGTGCGGTACATAAGACCCATTTCAGTGATCCATACTGTCTACTTCTCTGATCCAAATAACCATTTCTATATTACAAAAAGCATATTTGTATGGTCCAAATGACCATTTATTTGGTACAAAATGACCATTTCTATAGTCGAAAAAACCATGTGTGCGCTCAATAAAGGACTATTTCGATGGTCCGAACGGCCATTTCTGTGATCTAAAAAGTCGATTTCTATGCTCGAAATGGCCATTTCTGTTGTGCAAATGACCATTTTCATTGTACGAAAAAACTATATTTAAGGTTGAAGTGAAGTCTTTGAGGTACAAGAGAGCCAAGTAGGACGTACTAAAGAGTATTGTTTTGCTAAAGGCGAATG